GTCTTTAAGTGCAATTTCACATGTAACAGATTCGTACGGTCATTAAAAACGTTATTTCATTGTCGTTTTATTAGAATGAGCCGAATATTGTAATAATAGAGAATTTTGCCCATAGTAACTAATTGTAAAATTGATAGTTCAAAACGTTATTCTGTCTCTTTCTAACCGATATGATCTTATAAGAATTTGCCTAATCGATCGCCACGACGCCAAGCGGTGGCGCTGAGAAACTGAATTAGAATCTGATAGTTCGGAACGATAGGAAAGATAGGGACGATAGGCTGTCTCTTTCTAGCAGTCTTATAAGATTTTGTATATATATATCGACTTTCAACAATATCAAAAAGAATTTCTTTCTGTAGGCCAATTAAAAAAATATATTAGGAAGAACCGTGGTGAAATATGTCACATAAACAAAAACAAAGGTCTTCCTAAAAAAGGGACTATAAAATATTACTTTAAAACAATACCAAAACAAGTTTCGGGGAACCATTCTGATAAACCGTTGCATAACCCTACATTATCAGCACAAAAAAAAACTTTTTTTCGCGAATAAAATATATAATTTTTTTACTATTCTCCATCAAAATATACAAGGCCTAGGGTCAGAGAAATCCATTTTAGAAATTACTTTGACGGAAATCAACAAGAATATAAAGCCAGACATATTGTGCTTTACAGAAACCTTTATTAAAAGAAACGAAGAAAAAAATATAAACTTTAATAGATTTGAACTGGCAACAAACTACTCAAGGCCAAACAAAAGAGGCGGGTCGTGTATATTGGTTAAAAAGGGGATCGAATATAAAAAAATAACATGTTTCGATGACCTTAGCATTAATTTTCACTTTGAATGTTGTGCAGTAAATCTAGTTTCTAATAATATCGTCGTTATTTGCAGTTATAGAATACCGTCAAAATTACAGGGACATATTGCATATTTTATGGATAGAATTGACTTATTACTACACAAATGTATAAAAAAATATTCTAATAAAAAAGTTATAATAACTGGTGACATGAACATAAATTTTATTGACAAAAATTGTAAAAATGCGACACGCTTAAAGGAAATTATTAATAAATATAACTTTTATACACATATAAATGAACCTACTCGTAAGAACGCGTGCCTTGATTTGGTAATAAGTAACATCAAATTATTAAAATTAGAAAGAAATCTTCAAATAAGCCTACTTGGATAACAAAGGGACTACAAAGGAGTTCCGCTACAAAAGACATCTTCGTTACAAATATTATGCTCAGAATAATGAATTTAACAGGAAAAAATATCTAAAATATAACAAGTTTCTGAAAAAATGTGTTTATCAATCAAAAAAAATAACCAATAAAACTTATATTACAAATAGCAAAAAATATAGGTAAAGCTACATGGACAATTATAAAAAACCGGCCAAGTGCGAGTCGGACTCGCGCACCGAGGGTTCCGTACAAACCTCTAGGTATATTTTAATAATTATTAAAAAAAAAATATTATAGGATGTAACTAAGAATTTACGGTCTTCGCAATTTTTCCTTTATCTGTACTATAAGACGTTACTTCGTACCAAATTTCAAGATTCTAAGTTCACGGGAAGTACTCTGTAGGTTTTGATTCCCGTGCGAGTTTCGAAAATTTGCGACATAAACGGCTGTATCTTTTGATTGCTGTGGCTTAGAAGTTTGATTTTTTCGCAGCTCCAAGGGACAGTACTCCTGAGTATTATATATGAATTTCAGTTTGATACCTCTACGTGTTCCTGAGAAAAAGGGTCTTGACAGACGGACGGACGGACAGACGGACAACAAAGTGATCCTATAAGGGTTCCGTTTTTTCCTTTTTAGGTACGGAACCCTAAAAAAGAAACCAACAATATAGAAACAAAAAAATATATTAATAAAATAGTAATCAACGGAAAGGACATACAATCACCCATAGACATAGCTTCGACATTTAATAAACATTTCATTGGCATAAATAAAACAACTATCAATAACACTATAAACACTTGTAAAGGTAATAATTTCTATCATTCAATCTTTTTGACCCCTGTGACTGAAAACGAAATAAATAAGATAATAATGACATTAAATAACACTCCATCAGAAGGATTTGAATCAATAAGTACCAAAATAATAAAATTATGCAAGACCGAAATAATTCCAATACTAACTCATTTAGTAAATTTATCACTGGAAACCGGCACCTTTCCAGAAAGATTAAAAATTTCTGTTGTCAAACCTTTGTACAAAAAAGGTGACAGTACTAATGTTGATAATTATAGACCAATTACCTTGATTTCAATTTTTTCGAAAATATTTGAGAGAGTTATGTATAATCAACTTTCGTCATTTTTTAATAAATTTAATGTTATAAGTGAAAGTCAGTATGGTTTTCAAAAACTTAAATCTACGACACAAGCGGTGTATAATTTAGTAAATAATATTCTACAAAATGTTAATGAGAATAAATACACCTCAGTCGCCTTCATTGACATGTCTAAAGCATTTGATCGGGTGTCACACAAAAAACTACTCGATAAACTACAGTTGATCGGAATAAGAGGTCCTGCCTATGACTGGTTAAAATCGTACTTAGAGAACAGAGTTCAATTTGTTGAAATAGAACAAATAGGTAAAAAACATACGATACAAACCTACAGATCCAGTCTTGAAAAAAATGATACTGGCGTCCCACAGGGGAGTATACTCGGTCCATTGCTATTTCTGATTTATATAAATGACATTACAAATTGTTCAAACAATAAATTTACTTTATTTGCTGATGATATCTCAGTTTTAGTCTCTACTAATAAAGATAGCACAATGGAACAACATCGAAATGACATTATTGATACTTTGACATCCATAATAGATTGGCTAAATGATAATAATCTTCAAATTAATATTAACAAAACCAATATAATTAATTTTAATAATTTTAAAAACTCTTTGACGAATATTAACTTTAACGGAGAACAAATTAAATGGGCTACAAAAGGTAAGTTTTTGGGTCTATTTATAGATAGCAGGCTTAATTGGAGAGACCAAATAGAAAATGTATTTGGAAAAATAAATAGTTTTGCATATGCTTTATATAATCTTGCAAGAATTACAGACAGAAAAACAGCAGTTTTAGCATATTTAGCTTATGTGGAATCTTGCCTTAGATATGGTCTCATAACATGGGGAAATGGTACGGATATAAATAAAGTATTTATTGCCCAAAAGAAATGTATTCGAGCCATTTGTAACATTGCACCGGATGTTTCTTGCAGACCGTACTTCAAAGCATTAAACATATTAACACTGCCCTGCTTATACGTATTAGAAATGGGAAAATTTGTTAAACAAAACCGCCACCTATACCAGCAACTAAAAGATAATACAAGCAGAAATTTTAGAAATTTGAACAAACTTGTATTGAGTAACAATCCCAAAACTTCGCGTTTCAATAAAAATGGTTATGCAATGGCTATAAAAATATATAATAAAGTACCTGACAATATTAAGCAACTACCCTACAACAGCTTCAGAATAGTATTAAAAAATTGGCTATTAGATAAAAGCTTTTATTCTGTAGAGGAATTTTTAAAAAATAAGTCCTGAATATTGAAATGAATGTCGATTTTGGATTAATTTTATTTTAAATGCATATAATACGCATATTCTAGCTGACTCGGCGAACTTCGTACCGCCCAAAAGTAATAATTTGCAATAAATTAAAATTGCGACTATAATTTGAGATTTAAACTATTCTATCTCTCAAGTTGGATCGAACTGCACATGGTGTGCGAATTTTATTATAATCGGTTCAGTGGTTTAGGAGTCCATTGAGGACAAACATTGTGACACGAGATTTATATATATTAAGATTGACATGAATATTACTTTTTAATTGACATCAGGAATCAAATTAATATTTACATTGAATTGAATAATAATCTTAAATTGTCATACTGAAAAATTTTGTTATTATAGGTATATCACACTAAATTGACATAAAATATTTTTATTTTGAACTGACATTGCGAATTGTAATTAATATTGACATAAATTTGAATTTAAATGATAAAATACTTGTTATTAAATGAATGATTAGTAAATTTAATATGACTGTTATGTTTTAATATATTAGAATTTTTTGCATGCTATTAATATGGCTAAATAGGTTTAAGATTCTTAGCTTTTAACATATGCTTTATATGCAAACACCTTTTGTCAACCCTATTTAATGCAAATAAAGATTATTCTATTCTATTCTATTCTATGAATTGTTAGCTCTCGGAAATATTATGTTATTATGTTTGAATTGCTATGTTTTATTAGATAATAGGTAGCCATAGGATTAGGATAGCGAATAATATTTATATAAATTATGATAATAGTTTAGGCATAATTAAGGCGAATGTTAGATATAGTTTTTGGTCCATATTAAGTTAGTTATAGATATAATTTAGACAACAAAGATTTTATTTTGTGTGTTTTCACTTGCCCTATAGAATAAGGTATGATAGTTAGGTATTAAATAAGTCCAAGTAAGTTTTTAGAGACCTTTTAATTTCTAAACTTTATAGGGCTATAAAGCCATTGTTTATAATTATTCTTATTGGAAAATTACTGTATTCGATAGATAACGCATAGGACTACATAAATAAATAGGTATTAAATCGATAAATATAGAAATGTGCCGTATATAAGACAAAATTAGTTGTATAGAAAGTACTTAGAACGCTCCCCACTCAACGCGCACGGAGCGCGTGGGTGTGGCAGCCAAGGCCTGTGGCGGGCGAAGCCCTATGGAGGGGGCAAGTATAAATATCGCGGAGACCTATTTTTTGCGGGTCACACCTAAAATATGATGTTTACCGACGCGCAACTGCTCTAAAAATATGCCTATCTGTATGCCTAATGTATGTACATATAGTTGTAAGCTCGCAGCAATGTATTTTTTTAAAGTATAGCGGGGGTGAGGTAATGGATCGCTGGCTAGCTCAGTCCGCGCATATAAAATTCGAGTCGGTACAGGCTCCGACATGCATTAACGACAGGCGCTACCCTAAAGGAACAGGAAGAGAAAAGCGGTTCACTCTGGACCTGAAGCCTCCTCTCACCGGCCATCCATTACCAGCGCCCACCAATCAGTGGGCGCGGTGGATTTCTTCAATACCTAACACTGGGAGTTTTATTCACCGAAGCTACAGTCCACTATCGCCGTCAAGATTCCTACGCCTACGTGTAACTTCCTCCACCCCCAAGTACGAGTCGGTAACTGTCAGCTACTGCTACAGCCCGGCTTGCAGTACAATAGCTTCAAAAAGATCGAAAAAGCGGCACAAAAGGATGTTGTCCGATTTAATAAAAGCAAAGCCCGAGTTAGGCGTTTCTCTGGGGGAGTCTATGTCTTCGTGAAATCCAGCGACGGTCCTAACCGTATTCTAAAGAATTCCCACGAGAATTTGCGTGCAGTACCCAGGGGTTTCGATGGATTCGTTGATGTAGCAGACATACTGAGTAATTTTGAGGCCAAGACGGCTCAGGATCGGGAACACGAGAGGGAATCGTCATCAGACAACGAAAGCAACACGCTCTCAGTTACGAGCTTTCACACACTGATTGCCAGCACAGTAACCATGACTGCTTCTGATATTGACGAACCATGTGCGTAGGAATTTGTACTGTCTACTTTTCTACTACTTCTACTGTGTGATTTTGATTGTGGTACCTTCAAAGTGACTATTTATGGAAGGGGCTGGAGGACTTTCGCCAAACGGGATTGCTATGGCTATCGCTACCCTTACCATAAATAAAACAGTGATGTGATTTATTGATAGGAATGTGGCAAGTAACTTGTCTTTTACACAAATAATTTATTTATCACATATTATGGGTAACATTACATTACACAAGCATTACTCACAATTCATCATCGACTTCTATTAAAACAAAAACAGTACAAAAAAAGAGCGTTACAAAAAATTGCTTAATTTAGTAACACATATACACAATGGTGCCGATTCTGACATGATTCTCTAAACCTAAACTTGAGAACAGTGTATCCTTGTCATTCTCTATACAAAACGAAAAAGAGAGACTGATGTTAAATTTACTTTTAAGTTTAGGTAGGGAATCATGCCAGAATCGACCCCACTTTCTTCAGACTTCTTAAAACTGCTGTCATAGATAAATGATTGGTCTAGCTTCGCTCAACTCGATACCGCCAGCGTACTTGTCAAATGCGGCAAAAACTGACAGTTGAGTATGAGGCGTACGTACCGAACGTTTTATTAAAATTTGGTGTTAATCCAAAGTAAAATGTCAGAGATTTCACATTGTGAATTTATTGTTCTTGTATTTTATCATTTAACCCATTTTATTGATTTAACCTTGGTATGAAATTAATTATTCAATGTTTCTCTTTGTGGTCTAACTTAGTGGTTCTGTTTGATTCATTCATTTAGGTATCTATGACTGCTGATAGGTACAACAAAATGCTTTAGGTAATACTGTTGAACTTAAAAAGCATACATTAAATGTCAAGTAACATCATTCGTCGCTCTGAGGCCCAGCACGAACTTGGACAGATCCATAATCATATGGTCATCATCATATTTTGTATGGAAGAAGCCACTTTCTTCTTACGTCTGGTAGAGGCGCTGCTTAGTATTCATAGAAATATTGACGAGGCGATACTATTACAGATTTGTCAAAGTTTGTGCTTGGGCCCCACACGGAAAGACAGGTAATTTTTATACAAGGTTAACAGAAATCATAATACTTATAACCAACTCATGGATTTATTACACAAAATAAGCCTATGAACAAACCAGACATAAATTATAATAAAAGCTGGTTTTCTTTACTGAGTTGAAAGTCGGTTAATAGCTAAGGAAATATATTTGTTTTAATATTGTTCAAAATAATCCCAGCTTAAACCGGGATTGAGACCTTTATTAGTCTTGGACTTATTATCGTATAATAATACGAAATATATACATTTTTGCCGACTAGACTGCTTGTAACTAAAATTGCAAAAAGCGTAGGCGAATGTAGATTTAGAATTTTGACATATGCCTGCCAACCATAGCGACGAGTAAGTAAAGACAGAGAATATATTTTAATTTTATTCATCGCCGGCGGTACCATAGCCAAACGGTCCTCTGTAAAATGATATGCTATAGACATCGATATACACCTACATTTATGTATCTCTACATCATGCTAAGAACTTGGTTATTTCTTAATTAAGCCTGATAACGGATCCCTTGGGGCTTCAGTGGCATATTGAGAGGATTCGACTCGAGCGTGCTGTGGGATCGGCTGGTAAAGCTCGACGACACCTGGTGACCCAGGCTCGGCTGCTTGAATCTGGAAACACGAATAGCAACTGTTTTTCGTGAGATCTTATAGTTCAGTACAGTATAACAAGCAACACCTTATCACTATTCAGAGAGGTATATATATTTCACTCGAAATAGAAGCCCGTCTGGGAAAGTAACCTCCAACTTATTGAAGATCACAGTTAGAAAAACAAAAGCTTTTGGTGGTATTGAGTTTCTGTCGGTGAGGAAGGTTCCAGGGCTTCATGGCTAAGGGATTGGTTATTGGTTACAGGGTCCCAAGATCTCCAGACCTGACTTATTTTTCCACTATATAAGAAGGGAAAAATATGGATAATCGAGTAGTATCTTCTATATATAATAAAATTCAAAGGTGACCAGAAGATGACCAGTGATCTATCAACGCACAGCCCAAACCACTGGACAGATCGGGCTGAAATTTGGCATGCAGGTAGATGTAGATGAAAGAATTTTGATCAATTCTACCCCCAAGGGGATAAAATAGGGAATGAAAGTTTGTATGAATCTTTGTCAATTTTAAACCGATCGGGCTGAGACTTTACATGCAGGTATAAGAAGAATCATATATTAATGCCATTGTGTATAATACAAGCCTGAGAACAAAAATTGTAGTCTACACTTCAGCTTTACACTGAAGCGAAGCGAGGGCGGGCCACTAGTTAGTGTATACAATGAACATATACATACTCGCTAACTTGTGTTGTCGGCCAATTTTAAGGTATCAGGTGGCGCAGGCACGTAAAAATTTTATTCACTTTACTTATAGTCTGAGGACTGATTCCCCTGTATGTTGTAATTGTAAAGAATATAGTAAACAATCTGAAATAATATTACCAGATACATTCTGTCAGCAATTTTATTGCCAGACACTTTTAATGTTGAAAGCAAAAAAACACAACCTTACTAATTTCTGAAATAATTTTGATATGGTACTTAACACTATTTATAAGATAACTTTAATGAAGCTGTGTTTAAAAGGCAGTTAATTACCATGAGCGTGCCTTTTCTCATAGTGGCACTTAGAATAAGCTAAGGGGATTTTTGGCCCCTAAGGTTGGTCTGACAGCTTACAAAATATAATAATAGCCTCCTAAATATCATAGATACATATCATAAGCATAAGGTCTCAAACTTTAAGTATGTGTTTTTTTTTGCTTTTCACATTTAAAGTATGTTGCAATAAATAGGTACTGTACGATTTGGTTAGGCGATTGGCCCCTTGATACCTTTTTTTTATGTTATAGGGGGCATACGAGCAGGCGGCTCACCTGATGGTAAGTGATCACCGTCGCCCATGGACACTTGCAACACCAGGAGTATCACAAATGCGATGCCGGCCTTTAAGGAAGGAGTACGCTCCTTTTGAAGGTTTTTGGGTCGTATCGGTCCGGAAACACTGCTGGCGACAATATATTCCACAGTTTTGTCGTACGTGGTAAAAAATTTCGACAAAAACGCACGGTTGTGGATAGCCACGCATCAAGATGATGGGGATGAAATTTTTGTCGTGATGTATGATGGCGAAATGCAGCAGCTGGAATTAATCCGAACGATTCCTCAGAACACTCCCCGTGATAAATGCGATAGAAGATGCAGAGCGAAGCTACATCCCTACGCAAAGCCAAAGGATCAAGCTGATCGGAAAGGTCCTGGTCGTCGACGATTCGAGCCTCTCGGCGCTGGATGCGATTCAAAGGGAGAAGCTGGTACTGGGGTGCCCCCGCCCAAAGATGAGAGCAGTACTCCATGTGAGGCCGAACCTGTGCCTTATAAAGCTGCAGTCGGTGGGCCGGTGTGAAGTACATTCTCGATCTATTGAGCACACCAAGCTTCTTAGAGGCCAATTTGGCCTTGCCCTCTAAATGATCCCGAAACTGGACGTCCGCTCGATATGTCAACGCCAAGAATTCCAATACTAGCTGAGGCAGTTACGAGGAGTGTTCTCAAAAAGAGGAGATACGACAAATGGTATTTTTTTTGCGGTGAACGCGCACACTTGTGTCTTCGTAGGATTAAATTGGACTAGATTAAGTGGGCCCAAATTCGTTACTCGGTTTAACAAAGTTTCGACTTCAGACACAAGTTTGTTCCGGCACTCGATGACGTTTTCCCGTGAAATGTTGGTGCGGCCGGTATATAGGGCATCACCCGTGCTGTCATCTGCATAACAATGAATGCCATCAATTTGAAGCATATCATTGATATGAAGAAGAAACAGCGTAGGCGATAGCATACAGCCTTGTGGAACACCAGCGTTTACGGATTTGGAGTCCGAGCATGCACCGTCGACTGCGACCTTGATGCTCCTGTCCGCAAGAAAGCTAGTGATCCAACCGCACAGCTTTTCAGGAAGCCCATAAGAAGGAAGCTTCGAAAGAAGCGCTTTGTGCCAAACCCGATCGAAGGCCTTCGCGATATCCAGACCGACCGCCAATGCTTCCCCCTTGGTCTCGATCGCCTTTGCCCAACGTTGAGTCAGGTATACTAGTAGATCACCAGCCGAGCGACTCTGACGGAAACCGTACTGATGGTCACTAATCAGCTGGTGGTCCTCTAGGTACCGCAGGAGCTGGCAATTTATAATAGACTCCATTATCTTGGAGAACAAGGAGGTGATGGCAATAGCCCTGGCTATAATTAGTAGGGAGTAAGCGGTCACCTTTTTTAGGAATTGGGTGCACTAAAGCTGTCTTCCATGAGTTCGGAACGACACATAAAGAGTAGGAGAGCCGGAAAAGACGCGTTAGTACCGGAGCCAACTCAGGAGCACACGTCTTCAGCACAATTGGTGAGATTCCATCAGGCCCGCTCGACTTGTGGATGACAAGGGAAAACAGTGCTTTACGCACTAAGCTTTGTGTGAACCGGATCTCCGGCATAGAGCTCTTACACCGCGGGATGGTCGGCGGTATGTATCCCCTGTCATTTAAAGTCGAGTTAGACGCAAAGAGTGAGCATAAAAGATCCGCTTTCTCTTTTGCAGTATGGGCCATCGATTCGTCGCCATTGTGCAGGGGTGGAAGGGATGGCTTACAAAAATTTCCTTCAACAGCCTTGGCAAGAGACCAAAACGCGCGTGTTCCAGAGGGAAGTTTTATTAATCTCTCGCCAATGCTGCTAATGTGCTCTGACTTCGCTCTGGCAATTACTCTTTTGCAGGACCTGGAGGCCAATTTATACTTCTTTTTGAGATCGCTAGTATTGTTATCCCCGACCGCCGCTGCATTTGCCCAGGCCTGGTAACACATCTGTTTTTGGCGAGATGCCAGTTTACAGTAGTGACCAAACCAAGGCTGGGATTTGCCACCAATGGGAACTCCTCTGTGGTTCCAAAAGGAACCGAAGTGTAAGGAACAAAAAGTTCCATACCCTGAAGAACAACATCGGCGACAGAATCGGCAGCGACGTTGGGATCATTTTGCGAGAAGCAAACCTGGCCCCAAGGGTAGGATGAAATGAAAGTGCGCATCCCATCCCAGTCTGCTGACTTATAGTGCCACACACGACGACAGCCAACAAATTGCGGCCGCGGTGAGTAAGTGAGTGGTACTATACTCCGGATTAGACAATGGTCCGAGGAGCCAAGAGGGGCATCTATGGACACTTTGTAATTATCCGGATGTGAAGTCAGCAGAAGGTCCAACAGTGAAGGTGTATGGTCTTCGACATCTGGGATTCGCGTAGGCGAGGTGACCAGTTGTGTCAGACCATAGGCCAAGGCGAAGTCGTGAGCAGATCTGCCTGCATGATCGGTAGTGGGCGATCCAAGCCATTCGGAGTGGTGGGCATTGAAATCGCCAAGGATCACAATTTCAGATGATGGGATCTGCTGAAGCACGGAGTCTGTAGCCACCTGGACGTGATCATAGAGTTGGTCAGTTTCGGCATTTCCGCTATGGGACCTGTAGAGGCAGGCGTAGACGCGGGGATGGTCATCGACGTCTACATGCAACCATAAGATGGAGAGGTCCCTACCTTCAAAGTTGCTGAGGTGACGGAAACTGATACCCTCTTTAACGTACACACATACCCCAGTCCGTGGTACAAAGGAATGTTACAAAGTATGCCCAGGGAACTGGAGGTAGGAGGTGTCGGCTGGAGAGGATATCTGCGTCTCAGTCAAAAAAAGCAAGGCCGGCTGCACTGTCTGAAGGTGGTAGTGAACAGCATTAAGGTTGGAGTGTAAGCCCCTGATGTTGCAGAAATCCACGTTAAACATGGCAGGGGGTGACGTATGACGCTTGCTCTGGCCTCGAGCAGTTTCAGTAATGAGCGTGGTTTCGCCCTCCCCAGAATACGAAGGGCAGCCTCGACGTCCACGTCCAGAAGGAGACAGTTCTGGGCATGGACGTCCAGAGGGGGATTCTCCAGTGTGAAAACAGCTGGTACCCCCCTGGGGTATTATCCTATTTAACTGCGTCATCATGAGGAAAAGGGGGGGGGGGGGGTTTGGGCCTCCGGTAGCCTCACTCACTCGGCGAAACACAGTACAAAGTACTGCTTGACGCCGGTTTTCTGTGAGGTCGTGGTATTCCTCCGGTCGAGTCGGCCCATTCATGCAGTAGCCTAAGCTACTGCGTGGCTCTCCTACGAAAGGGAAAATCCTGAAAAATTGGCCCACATCACAAGTTAACGAGTATACGTTCATTGTACACACTAATACTCTATTACCATTATTATTATTATTATTACGATTACCCATATATTGTCGATTAGAAAATAAGATATATCTGACAGTATTGGGATCTTACTCTAATTCTATTGTTTTTTCATTTCCCTATCCTGCGATATATAGCGCCAGTACAGAAATTTGATGCTCCTGTTCGTATCTTTTCTGCGATGATTTAATAGAAGGTCTGTTAACTGACAGGAAATAAGTGCAGGCGATAAGCTATCGTCTTTATTCAACTATTGCTTGACTTATAGCTTTGCTTATTAGCCCATAAATAATATATGATGATGACGATACGGTGTTAGGATATGATAAAAAATTCTTTACAAAATTCTTAATTGAAAATAATCCACAGTATGTATCCAAATACAGTCATGTCTAAAATTTTATATTAATTCCGAGATACCAACACATTTTGGATCTAAATTGGATCCGATGATCTCCCACAGTGAACAGAGAGCGATAGAAAAATTAAGGCGTTAGCCGCCAAATTTTCACATAAAAAAGCATAAAACAGTAGAGATAGAGCAATTTTGAAAACTTTTTTAGCTGGCAATGTTAATAGTTAATGTAAAAGCCAATTAACCAATTCCAGATGCGGCGTCTTTGGTGGGTGGTTATTTTGTTTGTAAAGCGATATAACATGATCTATAAGTAAGTAGATTTGAAGGTCATATTAATTATTCACCTGTTCTGTAACTGTTTGAATATTTTCCTCTTGCAAACGAAGATGATGAAGATCATTAGCCCCATGAATATATTGTACGCGTCTGTGAAGTGCCACAGAAAATGTTTCTTCGTGAAAGAGCTCACCACCTCCAGGATCCAACTGAGCCCCATTAGAGCTGAAAGCTTGAGGTAAACAAGGAATCTGTGGAAAAAAACCAGAATCGAATTGCCTATATTATGATGATGCTTTCATGTGGCATGGCAATCGGATAAATGAGGAAATCCTACTAACACATTGAAAATAACTGTACAATGTTACCAGTTTATTTATTTATAATTTTATTAACTTGATTTATCGAAATATTATGATGATCCACATTTTAAATAAATAAGTTTTAAGAGGAAAAAGCTTATAAATATTCGGATCGTTGTTTGTTTCCTCTATTTATTATTACAAGAGGTGTCGATAAAGTGAGCATTTTTTTATTGCTCTATACATATATCTGAAAAATAAATAAATGCTCAATTATTCTTATGCTCGATAGATGAATTCATTTGATTTATAGCAGCCGCAGTTGATGTTTAAGTAAGAATGAGATATTAATAATAATTAATGGTATGTTTTAATTAAAACCTAAGTTATCGACATCCCTTAAGAGTTTGTTATGTTTTTTTCATACAAACGTTCACGACTGAATCCCCCTTGATTTTTATCATTAAATAATTAATTTTCATATATTAAATGTAATTTTACTCATTCTATGCTGCTATGTCTTAGCTTTTTCGATAACTAGTGTTTCAAAGAAAAAAGAAGCCGTCAATTATGCCAGAAATAAAAAAAAAATATCACCATAAAGACGTCTACTGTGGAGATTTAATAAGCATTTACAAAAAAAGCAAAACATAGAGGCATAGAATGTAACTACTTATTATTCTATGGGTAACATTTCTTTGACATACGTTTAATTTTCGAGGAGGAAATCCAAACCTCGAATTTAGCAATTCTTTTACGCAATTTTCAGCGTTACTGTTGTCCCTATCACACAGTATTTGCCAATGCGTGACAGCAATGGTTTTTTCAAATACCTATTTCTCAAATGTCTCTCAGCTTGTGTCCGCTCTTAAGGATCGGTATCTGTAAACATAACAGGCAGCCTAGCGGACCTTCCTTCTTTTATGGGATTACTTAGTTAGGTATTGTTAAGGAAAATGGACATTATAGCCACCCTTTTACGCAAAGGGTGGCTATGTAATGTACGTATGTAAGAAAACAATTTCCTTATCAATTTTTATTTCTTACCTTTCTTTGTTAGTGCGTCGTGCCGATGCAGTGCCAGAAGTTGCCGAGTCAGCCGAGTCCAAAACTTTATTCCCGCGGCTCAAACGCCAGATGTTGAACGCCGTCATTAGGTAGAACATCCAGTTAACGATTATCATTATCAGCATCGGTATGTAAAGGTATACCAATTTCGCTTCCCCTGTAAAGAGAAAGAGCGACATTTTATATTGATTCATTGGAATTCTTTCTGGTTGGTGTGGAATCTAAAAAAAATATGAGCAACGGTTAGGTGCGCTATGACCTTTAATCACTAAAAACGTACAATAGACACTTTCAGTGTAAATAAAAAAGATGCATTCAATGCGAGAACTCGCTATACTAGTTTGTCCCAGAATGACAAGAGCTATCAAAGATAATACTCGTTTAGTGATGCTCGCTTATAGCCCAGCGATAAAAGTATCGCAACTACACACTCGCTTCCCGTCGATCATTAATAGTTCCAAAAATATTATGTTAAATTGTATTCATTGGTTTTCTACAGCAGTGGGGACTGGGATTATAATGAGGTAAAAAAAGAGAAATTACTACCTTGAATGAAACACCCCTTTAGAGGTATAGCTGGTTTGATGACACCTGGCAGTTTTTTACTGTCTGCGCTGTTCATTGCTCCCGTCAAAATGGTCAGTGCCAATGGCACTCCCCAAGCATACATAGAATACATTGTGTATTTGAAACGCACCCCGCGTCGATGTATAGGCCGTGCTTTGGCATACCCCCTGAAATCATAAGATTCAGCATTAGTTATAACAAATGAATTGCATATTTGCTTGTTTCATATAATACTAGCGACTTAGCCGGCATCGTATCGTGCAATATTCTAATCAGCAATAGAGATGTGTCTTGATTTCAATACAAAAACACCATTGTGATTTCCGTAGTTTATTTAATTAAGGGTAGTTTCTTATGAATTTTCCAACGTTTTGTTACTTACAAAGCTCTGTACCCCTAGCACGAACCATTATCGAATTTGAATAGTTTGCAAACCGAAATGTCAATGTCAAATTTTGTATCGAAACTTGAACAGCAGCGGCACAAAGTACGTAACGAGAACTAAAAATCAGTACACATTTGACAATGACATTTCGGACTCGCAAACGATACGAATTCGATATTGGTTCGTGCTAGGGGTACTGTTCTAATAAATGACAATTGAAGCAGTCTTTCCGAAGTTATACCATTTTCAGGGTTCCGTAGTCCTGACAAGGAAACCTTATAGATCCGTCTGTCTTTCCGTCCCCGATTTTGCTTGAAGACTGTTAGCACTAGCGAGTTGTAATTTTGTGGACATACGTATATCCATTATGCCAACCAGATAGTAGTATAAAAAATTGAATTTGTTTTAGGGTAGTTCCCCTACATGCAACCTGGAGGTGATTTAGTTTTTTCATCGTCTACTACATCGTGTGGGGTATCGTTGGATAGGTCTTTTAAAATTATTTAAGGTTTCCTAAGACTAAATGAAAAATAGTTTGCCGTTTGCGGAATATTGAACTTTAAAGAGCAAATTTTTGTTCGTGGCGTCCTCCCCTCTAAAAGCTAAACTATTGGCTTGAAAAACCTGGAAAAATTCATGATGTGTTTTTCATGAACTTTTAAGGAAAATTATAATTGTTAAACACATTAGTTTCTATAAGAGTAATAGTCGTTCAACTTATGTATTAGAAAATTTCTGTCCTAATAAAAATTCCTTAAAAGAAAACATTAAAAGTAACTTAGAAGAAGTAATTACTTAAAATATAGACCCTTTCCAAATTATATTGTGGTGACAACGAGCAACTACGGCACCCTACACTGCGCCTGGCACGACATGCACTTTGCCGGTTTTTTAACTGTCATTGTGGTATAAATAAGTTGTAAAAGAGCGCGGCGTTTCGCAGAAGCAAGCTTCGACATTTCATTGAAATATAAGTACCTATATGGCTACTGGTAGTATTGTTTCAGGCCTTTATGGGGCGAATTGTTTGCGTTAAAATCGAAATAAAAAGCTGGTTTATTGACAATGGAGTTGGGGTAAAGCTATGAAATTGTGCTGATGAGATTTAATATCACTTGATGAATATTATATTTTAATTCTAAACCGACTTCGAAATAGACAGAAGTTGCCAGACCACTTTTCTATGTAACATTAGATCAGCATCATCATCAGCCTATTAATGTCCCCACTGCTGGGGCACAGGCCTTCCCTATGGATGGAATAGGGAGATTGGGCCATGACCTTCCATGCGGGCCCAGTAAGGATTGGTGGGTGCTAACGACAGCAGATGCAGCCGGGACCAACGGCTTAACGTGCCTTCCGAAGCACGGAGGAGCTCGAGATAGTAAATTTTAGGTCACTCATCCAATGACCGACCACTGCGAAAGTTGCTTAACATCAACGATCGCAGCCGAACGCGCTAGCCACTTGCGCCATCGAGCTCCTCAACATTGATGAACTGGTTGAACAAAGGCCTCTTATTTCACAGGACACATTGCTATATATATAGTAGCTAATCTTTTTCTAGCAACGCGACGATAAGAAGGCAAGTATATCGCACCGCTGTCCGGTGAAACAACGGCCGTTAAAAAAATGTATCAGGATCACTTTTACCTGAATGTCCACCATATATCGTAGGACATCACGTTCATCCAGCAGAATGTTGCCAGAAAGAAGTAGCATATTAGAAGCGCTGCAATGAAAAGAACACTAGAAAAATATATCAAGACTGCAGCCAAAAATCCATATGTATACTTTCATATCTTAATTTAAACAAAAATGGTCAGTGCATCCGCCTGGATAGCGTAGAAAGCGGGTTCGAGTTCGGGGGCGTCCATAAATTACGTGGTGTTTTTTAATTTTCTGTGCCCCCCCCCCCCTGGTGAGATGTCGTGTGATTTTATTCAACCCCCTCCCCCATTCCCCAATCTCACGTGAGATTTTTATTTTTCCATAATTTTATCACATCGTCCTGGCAGGACTTCTTCGTCTTATAGTCGTATCTTTAGACCTATGCGTTATAAAAATCTTGATAACTCATTTTAAATTACTAAGAGCATGCACTGAGTCGAGTAAAACATATACAAGAATAAACAAACCAGGTTTGAACCTGTCCGTGTTCGGCTGACAGTGGCGCGAAAACAAAAGACGGGCTACACTGTACCGTAAATTCAGATAAAATTGAGCTATTTGGTATTTAACAAATATGGTGGTTTGACAGTCAATACATGTATAATATCTAGCAGTTTAATGCTAAGAAAAATGTAATAAACAAATAAAATGCTTACTTATTGTTATGCAAGAAGACACACTCAATTGAAAGAATTCCGACTGAATGGTAAATAAGAATAGGTAGGCAAGGAGCATGCTCCCTACGTAGCCCATCAACACCAACCCGCCAAGATTCCTGAGGTCTGGCAGGAGGGCGTATACTACCAAGACCAGAAACAGGAAGAAAGATGATATAGGCAAACCTGTAAAAGTTGATAAAAATGTTACTATAAACTATAGCCTATTAATATCCCCACTGTTGGGGTACAGGTCTACCCTATGATTAACATCGGAAGGATGGATCAACCCACTACGTGAGCCCAGTGTGGTTGCTGACGACTGCTCGTGCGATTGTCAACAAAACGGTTTCCACCCTATCCAGTGCCGGTTAGGCTTGTTCCCGAGCACGGTTTGTATCGTTGTAGTTAATAAAGCTACATAGTGTCCCATACCTTACGGAATACCTAACGTAAACACGATGTGAAACCGTGTCAAACGCGGCGGAAAGCGGTCTCACCAATAAGCGGTCACAGAAAGAAAGCTGGAAGCAGACCAGCACCGCAGCGCTGACCAGCGCGTGTCGGCACTTATCGGCGCTGGTCCATAGAAATGCCTGCGCCGGTGCTTATAAGCACTGGTCCTTACCGATAACTATATACTTGTAACAGTTACATAAAGGAAGCAGATTGAAGCCTAGTTGTACATTAATTTCAAAGGGCGGTGCCAGTGCTGACAAGCGCTGGTTGTCTTCCAGCTTTCTTTCTGTATACGGCCTTAGGCACGTATTATTGAACATTTCTCAGTAAGAAATCTAGTTTTGAAAGTAGTTTCAAAACGAGATTTAATTTTAAAACGTTCCTTTAAAAATAAACGTTGATCAAAACTCAGCTGAGTAATTGCTTATTTCAGAAAAACATCTACTTCAAAATCTACGCTCAAGATCTTTATTCACTTAAATACTTAGATTAAAACAAAAAGGGTAGATACGGCACTAGCCTCACAAAAGTGATCCGCATGAATTGTGGTCCATGACCCTAATCGCTTTAGTCACAACTTGACATGCAAACGACGTACATGTGAACGCCAAAAAGAAATATTGCTAATATTTTGTGTTTCCATGATAAAACAATGCCTGTTGTGTGTTTTTAAAAAGTGCTCAAATTTCTCAAGAAGTAAAAATAAAACCCACGGCATCACTTTTCGTTCGTAAGTACTATTAAATATATTTTTTCATAAAAAATGCTGTTTGGTTTGAATCTTATTCGGTAGTGACGTAGAGTACTGGTCGCGTGATTGGTCGGTAGTGCAGTGACGCGGATCTCGCCGTCTCGTTCGCGCTGCCGTTGAAACCTTACGTGCTGTTTCGTTCGGGTCGGTAATGCAGTGACGCGGATCTCGCCGTCCCGTTCGCGCTGCCGTGGGATCAGTTTTTATTTGATACAAGTATGAGCGTACCGTATCTACCCTTTTTGTTTTAATCTAAGCTTAAATATGGTCGATACCATTCTTAAGAAGAGAATACGTATTATAGTTACAATAAAGTTGTAACGCGCGTTTGTGGAGTTATGTTGTTTATTTTCTAAGTGTAATTGGAAACATACATAGCACGTAGACAAATTTGATCGGAGTTCGAAACGAGTTTTGATTCTAGTTTCAGCAGATTTGCTCTTAAAACGCGACCTGTAATATGCTGAGCAATTAAATAGTGATCTACACTTAAAACTAGCTTTGCGTGATTCGAGTTTAAATGCTGCTTGAGCTATTTATATTATCTATATTATAAAGTTCTTGTTGACGCCGGCGCGGCGCCGGTGTCGTTAACAAACGTTTAATGTGTCCCATACCTAACCGGCGACCGGATGTAGAATTGATAGATGTTAGAATCTTGCCTAGACCCAGCTGAAAATCGTCTCTTTAATAAGCGTCGTGAAATTCGTATCATATGCTACAGCTTAAAAAAATTGTAAATAAGAGAACATAATGACCATCACGATGTTAGTTGTATATATCGAAAGTTAACTTTAATGGCCACGCTCAGAGACAATAATAAATATTTAATTACGATTTTTCATACTCCCATACATTATATAATGGTGGGCTGTGTAAATAGCCTACCACTGTGTTTGCGAGTTCGGACAGTCCATATATTTGCGGCGGGCGTAATTTAATACATATTATGAATTACAAGCTGTGCCTATGTCAACTAGTCGACATATGTCGCTGACATAATAATATGTAAGCCGACCAACGGTTTGTTTTGGGGTGAACTATTATATAATTTTTTTAAAGCTTTTCGTTCTTTATAAATTCTGTATATAAACTCATCTTTTCAAGCTTTCACGGAATCACGGAGAGCTATTTTGTAACTAACAATGAAAACACTACAATAGTAACACAAATCTTACACAGACCCGATTCCATGTCAAGAATTACTGACAATTTGACAAATAAAATATTAAATATTACCCTTGCTCCCTTGAACCTCAGGGTGTCAATTGGCTATTGGGATTGCGATAGCTATCGGTATCGCATACAATTTCAATTTGTTATTTCTGACCTCAGACGGTTTTCAAATACCTTATGCTCAGTTTCTTTAATATTGTTATTACCATTCAACCATCAAAACCTTCAATAAAGCAATATCGTTAGGCGATTTACCCCCAGGGCACCAAGTGACTATATTATGTCGACTTGGTGCCTTGGTTGAGTTAAGGGCACAATGAAGAACAAACATCAACAATGAAAACAAGTGAAAAGTCGGATAAGGCGCAATGCCAATAGTTATACTTAAGTACTTTTATAAGATTAATTCGTAAAGTTTTAGTCAGTTCTTTCTACATGACTAATAAGCATATTAAATATCCTTGTCAATTGTCATGAATCCCTATTTAAAAGTAATGTTTTCTATTCAACTCGTTTATTTATACGATGTTTTATTAAGATACTTTCGTATTTTTGTTATAATAATATTGACACTTACTGTATACTAAAAACGGGGTTTGTTGATTCCCAACGACCCTCATTAGCAGCACGACCTTGTGTGAAGACGAATTCTTTTTCAGCTTATAGTCTATGCAATAATCGTTATCTTCGTTGTTATACATGATCAGAATCTTGTTACCCTTGTTGTCTTTTCTGGGGACAATCACGCTGCCATTCTAGATTCGAAAAATTGAAAGCATCAACATTAAAAACACATAGAGTAAGATCCCAGCCTCACCACTCCTTACTTATTTTCTGATGAACTAAATACATTAATACTAGTTGGTTTTCCATATTTTTACCAGAATTCAAAAAAGGATCTTTAACTTGTATTTATTTATTATTTGGAAGATCAACAGCTAATTTTAAACAGAAATTATAACTACAGTAGTGAAAATTAGCCAATTATATTAAGTCCTCGCAGATAACAATAAATTAGTTTATTAGGAAGACTATTCAAACACAGGCACGCATACTTCATGCCAATATTCGCTGCAATACAGAGTACAAAAGACAAAAGTTAAATATTTAAAAAAACAACAATTGAAAAAAAAACATATTAGAGATAATATGTGACGCCGAAGCCTCGCTAGTATCAAAAACATTTAAATTGGCCTGGTTTGAGAGTATATTGAAATTATTACATGCAAGTAAGAGGTATGCATCTGCCGATATTTAGTCGACGCTGCGCTGCTAGCTGGTGCTTTTTACGAAGCTCAATATAGCAGGTTCATTCATATCGGTCATGAATGCGCAAACAGAGATATTTAAAAAATCTTTTATGTATATTTTCTATATGCTTAATATAAATATTATACCTCGGACTCGAAATCTGCGACGCATACTCAAAATAGCTTCGTACAAACGCACAATTTAAGATCTTCTCTTGAGTTACGCATCACAAATCCAAGGGCCCTAGACGCTTTATTAACAATTAAATCAATATGAATGTCAAAACTAAGCTTGTCATCGTGAAACACTCCAAGGTTTCTTACTACTATTTCCCAACTTAGTTTTTTATTCTTTAGTATGTATTTCAAAATTTACAGATTACGTTTACGGCTTTAAGTGATAACACTACACTTCGACGGATTCAGAACCAAATGGTTATCCATGCAATAGTTTTCAAGCCTTTTCGTCTGGGAAGCATAATAACTTGGAGAATTTAAATTATCTTTCTATATCGTTCACAAAAATTGCAAAAAAGAGGGGCCCTAGCAAGAATCCCTGTGGAACATCACTTGGTACCTCCAACCACCCTGAGATGTAATTTTTAATAACAACAGCTTGTGAACGATTTTTAATATATGAAGACAGCAACATACAACAATATTTTAGCAAATCACCACTGATATCAATTCTTTGCAACTTGACTAGAATTATATCATGTTGAATTCGGTCAAATGCGTTGCTATAGTCCGTATAGATGACGTCAACTTGGGGACCACCATACATGGCCATAGTAAGGGACTACAATGTTGGAGACAACTGATCGACCTCTCAGGAAACCATGTTGGGATTGAGTAAACGAATGTTGAAGTGCCGAAAAAAGCTGACCATAAACTATTTTTTTCTAAGACCTTAGAGACTTAACATAGCCTTGAAATTGGGTGGTAATTTGTGACTTTTATTCTAGAGTCTATTTTGTGAACAGGAGTAATGTAGGCGCGCTTTCACATGCATCTGTTTCTAAGGATTTTTAAAAAAGGATTGTGATGGGTATTGCGATAGTCTTAGCATAGTTAATGAGGAAAGAAGCTGGTAGCATATCCGGCCCAGATGATTTTGACAGATCGAGCTTCAAAAGAAGGTTTGTTACATCTTCGACATAAACCGTGATATTTGTAATCGCAGCAGCTGAATTAAAAGTCTTCATTTAAATTATCACAAGAAACTAGAACAGTTAAATAATTGGAATGGAAATATGTCGAAACATTACATATTAAGGATCCAGTATTATATAAAGCATCACCATACATCAAAGTATTAGACATATCTCCTGTATTATTTTTTATTTGATATATGACCAAAATATTATTGGATTATCTTTTAAATTGTTTTCAATTGAATTATTATTGTAATGATAGCATATCTTTTCGAGGCCCTTGTAACGGTCTCGAAACAATTTAAACGATAGTTCACTAGCGCAGTTCCCGTAAGTTTTGAATTTCATTAGGTATTTAGGTATTTATATTTTTCTCTGATAGTTTTTTTAAAGCGGGAGAGTACCATCGGAGATAGTTGTCAGATATGATTATTTTCGCAAGGAATATACTTATTTGGCAACATTGTGAATATATTATAGAAGTACTCCACTGCTGCTTCTAAAGGTTTAGTCTCCAACTCAAGGTACCAGTCGATTTTGGAGATTTCCGCATTTATTGACCGATAATCGCCCTTATTAAAAAGAATTGTAACGCGTGAGGCACTAACCAATGGAGTAGAAACCGCAAACTGTAGCTCCACCGATAAGGCACCATGATGTAAGTCAATCGGTACAAGTTGGTCATCACTCGAGTCCACAACCTGAACATTATGTTATTTGAAAAAAACGACGGGTTGCATTCCGGGAGTGCCGTCAGAAGTGAAAACTTGAATATTAACGTTGTGCATTTTTGATATTTTGGAATGATTAGGGAATAATTTTGCACGAATTGCTTTAATTATCAGTATAAAAGTACTATCATTTATGTGGAATACAATATTTATTTATTGCGCTATCGTACACAAACATGACAATTTATATTACATAAAAAAGTTTATCTCTCAGAAAAATCAACTTACATGAATCACATTTAAGCGCACCTAGCGACATTTATTGTAAAAAAAATGCATTTTCTTCGCAATAAGGCTGCCACCTGGATGTCCTAATTAGAGGCTTATTATTATAATACGATACAATAAAATATTACTATGTTTCGTCCAATATATTGAAAGTCAACAACCTTTCCAATTTTATTGTTTTCGTCTTACTTACATACAAAAAAAGTGTACAACGCCGCTAAAGAAGTTTTCACTTCAAAAGCAAGATCAAATATTCTCCCTAAGGTATTTTTTATTCCGTTAAACTGTGTTAGTCCTGGAGTGTTGGTCTCATCCACCAGTAAGATCTAATTTTCAGATTGAACTTGGTAGCATCAAACGAAAAGGAATCAATATTGTTTAGAGTCCATGTTATACCACTCAAGTTAAAGTCACCCACTAAAAGAAATTTGTCAAAAGGGTGCTTGAAAATAATATTACATAAACTATTTAAAAAAAAAACTCATTACATAAATAAAGTACACAGATATGTTATATTATGGGAGTATTGGAACTGTTTTTTAAGCTTTAGTGTTAGCCAAAGGTCCTCAGCACTGGAGTGGAAAGAAGGCTGAAGAACAACGGTAAGGTTGCGCACTGCAATTATATAGTACACCGACTCCGTTAAACTGACCAGTGGCAGGGTAGTTACAGCCACAACGAAATATAACGTAGCGATCATCAAACATTTCGGCGTCTTTAGATTAGATTCCAATAGCCAAGTTTCAGTAATAATAATTATGTCGTAATTATTGCCACACATATTCCGATAAAACATTGTCGTTTTAGTGCGTAGCCCCCTCGCATTCTGATAATAAATCTTGTATTTATTTATTATTTATATTAGCCATCAATCAATCAATAATAATATAAATAAATTAAAAATGCAGGGGTCATAAATTACAATAAAAATAAATGAATGAAAAGCAACGGTCACTCGAAACTCCTGCCAAAACCCGATAAAGTAAGAAATAGAATAAATTAAACCACGAAATACATTAATATACAACAATAGCTGCATAGCGTATTCAAAAAACTTATACACTGTATTATGCTATATACTGCAGCGAAGGTACTGGACGGTCTGCTTGCTAGGCGCCTGGAGGAACATATATCGCTTAATGACTCGCAATTTGGCTTCAGACCTGACCTTTCCACTGAGAGTGCCATCTTGTGTCTCAAGCAGACAGTCCATTACTACAATGCAAGAAAAACACCAGTGTATGCTTGCTACCTTGACTTATCTAAAGCTTTTGACCTTGTATGTTACGACATTCTTTGGAATAAAATGAAATCAGAAACTGACACCCCAGAGGAAATTGTAGCTCTCTTTAAGCACTGGTATAGCAACCAAAAAAATAATGTAAGATGGTCTTGTGTTCTCTCCGATGAGTATAGACTGGAGTGCGGTGTGAGACAGGGAGGATTAAGCTCGCCAACGTTGTTCAATTTGTACATGTACAAGCTGCTTGATGAACTTGGCAGTACAGGTATCGGTTGTCACGTAGACGGCGTATGTATTAATAATATCAACTACGCAGATGATATGGTACTGTTGAGTCCATCAGCCGGCGCGTTGAAGCGATTAATAAGTGTTTGCCAGTCATATGTAACAGCACAGGGGCTCAAGTACCACGCAAGTAAAAGTGAAATCATGATATTTAAGCCCGATCGCATTCGTTACACTAATATTCCGCAAATAACACTCTGTGGCTTTCCGTTGAAAAAAGTTGAACGCTTTAAGTACTTGGGTCACTGGATAACAGAAGATTTAAATGACAATTGTGATATTGAGAGGGAACGGAGGTCGCTGTCTGTCCGCTGTAATATGTTAGCCCGCAGATTCGTAAAATGTACCAAGCTGGTTAAAATAGCACTCTTTAAAGCATTCTGCCAATATTTTTATACATGCGGTCTGTGGGTGAAGTATACGCAGGGGGTATATAGCGGTCTTCGAATACAATACAACAACGCGTTCAGGGTATTGATGGGGCTGCCGCGTCACTGCAGTGCCTCCGGCATATTTGCCGAGGCCCATACAGATGGTTTCGCGGCCATCATGCGTAAGCGCTGCGCCTCGCTACTTGGGCGGGTGCGCGGCAGCCCCAACACCATCCTGAGGGCGCTGGTAGAACGGTCGGACTCTCCGATGCTAGCTCGCTGGATACGACTGCATGCAGTCATATAGGCGGGGGCATCGTGACATCAAACCACATGTGTTTATTTACTAACATTAGTTTTTAAGTATAATCTGTTTGTTACTAACCCACTATGGATCCCTGTTATCCGAAAATAAATGATTATTATTATTATTACTTCATGCATTATAATCCATATGTATATGCTCAGCGTAACTCAAAGTAATCATTTGGTAATAATCCTGACTAAATAATAATACGAAACGAAGCTGCTGTGTTTAGAATCATAAACAGATCAGTGACGCGACTCACGAGCTGCGAATAAATAGAAACCGGACTCGCAAAACTAGTTTCGAAAAAGCCTAGAACAATAGCGAAGCATCGGAGGCAAAGCAGTAGTTACAAAACTTTTAAGCATTAACAATGTGTTAACACTAATATACACCAATATAACTAAAATAAACATAAAAAAATATTTTAAAGTATAATAATAAATAAAAACATAAGTATAATAATATTTCAAATGAAGTGACGGCACTTGCAATGGAAAAAAAATATATGTAGAAATAAATTAAAGAATCCTGTTTAAATCACTGTCGTTGGATATGGATCAACACACGTGAAACCTTCCGAACACGAATTTTGCAGTATTTCACCCACACATAAGTGTAGCCCTTAGCTTTGGCCACATACTTGGTCGTGGTGAGCAGGTTCTTATATTTCGGTATCAGGTGGTCGTTGACATAAATACGCTGTATACTATACGCGAAACCAACGTCTGCAGCAGTCACATCCTTCTTTGCATGGGCCGCGGCCACAAAATATTCTTTTCGATTAAGGAAAGTGATAATAATCGACTTTTCATTAGAGTTGTGTACCTACCGTTACTCTCGCAATATAATTAATCTGAGACTTGGGAAAAGGGTCGTCCACAGCTTTGGTCAGTGCTTCACCAACGGAGAAAAGGTTTTCAACTTCTCTGTATACCCTTTATTTCTCAGTTATTGAGACGTGTATACTGATCCAAATCCTTTTTTATTGTAGAAATATCACTAATGGTTGATTCTAAAGTAGACTGTGTTGAATTTATATTGAATTTTAATTGGCAAAAATTAATCTATACATATTATAATTTGTATTCCTTTTGTAATAAAAAGAAAGTAACATAACTAGGTAATGCCAAAGTATACTTGTTCGTTCAGTCTTAACTCAAATACTTCATTCGTTCGTTCAACCCCCACTCATTCGATCATTCACGCATTCAGTTCACTTATAAACTTGCTTCACTTTATATTCTGCTGTGCTAGGAGTCAGTCGTATCAGCTTCCTAGTAAAAATATATTTCACAGAATATAAGTATCATTCGTCACTGTGATTCCGTATTTTATTCAGCTCGTCTGACCTATAAAATCTTCAGACTCCAACTTTTGTATCCTCGTTATGCCACGCTCCAAATATGCTATAATGGCCGCGTGTTCATCTATTCTGCCACTGTTGAAGTCACAAGATGCTCTAAGATCTGATAACTCCTGCTTGATAGATTTAACGTCTTCAACAAGTGTAGGGAGACTAGCCAGCTATCACTTGACATCACGTAGTTTCTTTAGTATAGTTTCGAGTGTCACTGAATCTCCATCAGGAACAGGGGATAATCTCGACAGCCTGCACTGTGTGAATTTCCATACTGATCTGTGGTCAGGACCAAGTTTCCTATTAGTTTCGGATTTGTTGGCACAACCAAAGTCTAGATGTTTCTTGCATATGCCGCATTGTACTCCACCATTGAAGGATTCATCACAAATCGCACACTTCATAACGCAAGTTGGTGAGAAAGTATTTAAATGAGAGAGCAAAAAGGTTGACGATATATGAATGTAAAAGGTGACTAGTAATGCGTGTTACCAAGGCGAGTGCACGAAGCGTACTGTATGAATGTATGTATGTTTGTCCACGATTATCGTAAAAACAACTGATCCTATTTGGATGGGGTTTTCAGTATATGAATGCGTATTTATCAGGGATGGTTTGAGTATAAAATGTACTAGCAGTTTCCCACAGTTTCACCCGCGTACAGCGATTGGAAGAGTGCGCGTAAGCGAGATCATTGTTTTTTCATGCGATAGCCAAGTTAATCTTTTTATTTATTAATATTAAAGATTTTCAATATTGATATGGTCACTATAAGATGTTCTTATTTTAGCTAATTACGTAATAACTTAAGACAGAAGATCTCTTAAGTAGGGACTTACTAAATTAATCGATTTCGTATTACATGTATATCACAACATTTTACGGTCGAAGAACTGAGTTGCAAGACTTGTTTTTTTACCCAATAAATAAGCATTAATTTTTCATTCCGAACGTTACTATGGTCCCAAGCAAATAAATGCCCAGACATGGGTATTTTCCATTTAAGAAAAAGAATTTATCGAAGTTGACTGGACCAAGGGTGTGAACCCGGGACTTCAAATGGCTACACCATGTACAAGCCACTAGATTACGAAAGTTTAGATAAATATGTTGTTCGTTCGAGCTTACCTCCATCAAGTAAAACCCAGGTACCCATGTTGCCCTTTCCTTGAAAGCAACATCATTGAAAGCGCCAGGTTTGATTCTAAAGTACTGTTTCAAGTCTCCGATGCGGGATAATTGATCATCGTAAACATCGAAACTGTTGAGATCCAGATCTTCGGAGGAATTTGCACATTTCTTTATGCCAGTTATGTACTGGTTGTCGGGACAACACTTTCGCACACATATCTTTCCTTCGCACTCTGCACTATAACATTCTTTTATTAGCACAAATAAAATCGCCAACAGCACTGCCTGCATGTTCACCGTATGTCTGGAAGCCACCTTTTCCTGTAGAATATTCAAAGTACATTAGCGAATGCTATTGGGGAAATATCAAAGTTATTACGTGTCGCTATTAAGCATAAAGTATTATTGAAAAGCGCTGCATACACGTTCATTGTTATTAAAACTGACAGATTAATCTAAAACAATATTATCGATATTCAACAAGTGCCTTGGTATACGTGAGCTGTTCGAAAAATAGTTCGTGAAATGAAAAGTAGTTAGAATATAAAATAAGTTTATTTAGAGCATTTCAAAATATTCTTTTCCAACCCCTTTGCACTTATGAATTCGGGTGAATCAGTTTTCAAAACATTCATAAAACGTATTTTATCGAAAAGTTACTGCCGAAATTCATTGACGGTCTCGTCAGCAGTGTCGAATTTCCTCCTCCTATTACTATAAAAAAAAATTTTCACGGTAAAAAAACATTCTCCTATTTCTACCTACCTACCTACCTACCTTACCGTGAGAAATAAAATAAAACCGCATTGAGGTAAATGTGGGCTGTACGGAGGATGGGGTAACATTTGTACCCCGAAAATATCAAATAGTCCGTGGTTATAACACTGTGCGAGCGGGCGCGTTGTCTTGGTGAAAAAGAATCCCACGGGCGCAGCACACTGGGCGCTCACTATTCAACTCCCTGAAAGCTTGATGCAGGCAAACTGTGCAGTGCCATTCACTAGTAACGGTTTTACGGTCTTCTAGCTGAATTACTGCTACTGGTCCTCTGCGTTTTTAGTTTTTTTTTCTTCCACTTTTCTTTCTTCAAAACATTATAGTAAAGTGTGTAATAACACTTTACTATAATGTTTTAAAGTAAACAAAAAATGGATCATAACCTATTTTCAACAACTCAACTAAACAGATGTTGAAATTATTGAAAAGAATGTTCCTATTTCCATTATCCTTATGTTAGTTTACTGTAAAGATATATAAAGAAAATACTCGACCTAAACTTTGCGTCGTGTATTAGGCCCTTAACAGATTATCCATACAATTAGTTGGCGTAAGTAGCAACATGACACAGTTGAGGGTAAACAGTCATTACCGGCAAATATTAATAATGTTGCACTTAGGGACTTCTACTCAGAAATTAATGTTTGCCAAAGTAACATGTTTCACCCTATTGCGATCACTCGCACTCGCGATATTATATTGAACTTTCCTTACCATAGTAATATATCTACTAGATCGAGCAACAAAAGGCGAAACAATCACACTTAATCTCCATCATCATCATCATCATCATCATCAGCCTATTAATGTCCCCACTGCTGGGGCACAGGCCTTCCCTATGGATGGAATAGGGAGATTGGGCCATGACCCACCACGCGGGCCCAGTGCGGATTGGTGGGTGCTAACGACTGCAAATGCAGCCGGGACCAACGGCTTAACGTGCCTTCCGAAGCACGGAGGAGCTCGAGATAGTAAATTTTTGGTCACCCATCCAATGACCGACCTCTGCGAAAGTTGCTTAACTTCAACGATCGCAGCCGAACGCGCTAGCCACCTGCGCCATCGAGCTCCTCTCACCTCTCACTTAATCTCCGCCACCACTTATTTTTAGGTTAACACGGTGGCAAACAAACGTCTGGCCTGCCTGATGGTAAGTGGCCTATAGACACTTCCGATACCAAAAATACCAGTCTCGCCTTTGCCTACCCTGACCCATTCCCCTAACTACCACAACATCCCTAAAAGGTAGCTTAATTTAATTGATGTCTTCTATAAGGGTGAAGTTACTTCCCAAGAGAGTTGAGTTTGAGAGAAAAATTCGCTATGCCCTAACTCTCTTAAACGTAAATAAAGAAACACGGTAGGTATCACGCAAGCTTCTTCACTTACAATCAACAAGTATATATTGCATTTTACGAGTGGTGTCCCGAGTCTTATAAAATAATTATTAATGAACTAATTATAAAAATATATACATATTTCAGTAGTTTAATGATGGTAGATTAGTTTTGTGAAAGTTTTTGATGGTAATTATTTTTAATTCAATATCACAATACGAAGTAAACCTGTTATATTTAAAAAAAAACCAGTTTTTTTTTTGGGAAAACTTACGGAGGTTAGATGTTTTTTTTGTAATTAATGAGATGGAAAATCAAAATTCTAATACATTATGATACAAAAAAACATATTTCTGATGTTGTAGTAATTAATTTGATCTAATTTATTGAACATTATTGAGAGATTGAGGTGCTTGAAGTTATGCATATTATCGTTATTTCCGTAAACTAGCTGCAGTTGAACGATCAGTACAAAAAAAGGAAAATAGTATTTGCAAATATTCTAGATTAACATACAATAGAAAGAATAAATCTACTGTTTTCTTTTATTGTAAATAGTCAAAATCTTTTCTAAAGGGGTAAACGAGGCGCTCAAAAATTACGATTTTTGCAAAAAATGTGAAAGGGCTCTTAAGGCATCGGTAGCCACTTAAAATCAGAGGAGCGGGACTATACGCCTGTTTGCCGATTTATTATATTCACAGACTTGATGCCTTTATCCTTAATGATATTACAAATTCCCGTTAAGCTATAAAATAGCGGTCAGATCATATTGTAGAGCTCAATGTCCGCTCTGTCTCCGAATCGGTGTTTAACTCAATTTCGACAAAAAAGGACTTACTCCTCTTATCGATAGCACATCAGAATAATATTCTATGACAATGTTGTGATATTTCAATATAATGTTTATTTAGTAATTTTGAAAACAACAAGTTTGATATAAAATTGTAATTTTTGTTTATTTTCTAGTCGACATATAGATGCTTAAGTAATTAAGGAGTAGTAAATCTGTTTTGGTTAACCCGTTATTATCACTTAAGACTTAAAGAAGAATGATGTTCTGAGAATGGAACTGATAAACTAGGTGATTCCCCCAATTAATTAGTAGTTAATTTAATTTTGAAGCGTGTTTTATTTAGTAGGTAAATATCCATAGAGACCGTAAGATACCTTTTCAACACATTTGCTTAATAAATGCAGTTACGGAGGTTATATACATTGTTAGAAAGTCCAAATCACGGTCTACACAACGGAGAGTGCGGTAGAACATTTTACCGTACGCTCCCATACATGGCGCCGTGTGTATCCTTTACGTTTTTTTTAATCACGGCCGAACCTCCTCCAAAGAGCTTTTAATGTATACCTTTGTCTCACTTTAATACTTGATGTAGTTCTAATTTTTACCGTACCTGGTACCATATACCAGATTGTACAGGTAAATTCTTTCTCCATTCCAGTACAAATGTCTCGCTCGTACTCTCATTCTTCCTATTCTTGACTATGATGATGTCTGTTATTCTGACGCGAATTAAAACGTTCTCTCTAAGCCGGCTCGTTTGCTCAACAGTGATATTCGCTTCATCTTCGGCTTACGTAAGTACAGGGCCTGATTTAGAGTTCTGACCAGCCTAAGCTAACTATGAATATGCGCCCCCTGGCCTACCTTATCATAACTTACAAGTGCAACTAATTAAATTACAATTATAAAAGAGAACTTAGGTAAACTAAAATATTTTTTTGGACATTTGGGAACAGGACGGAACCCATGCCAAAAGGAAGAAAACACATTAAAATTAAAAGGAAAAATAAATTACGCGATTTGAGGTCGGGAAGGGTGTGGGGGGTGTTACTTTCCAAGGTGGGAGGGAAACGGTTTATAACAGTGATACCCGGAAAAACTACAAAGTAAACGACATTTTATTTTTTTATTATTATCTCTCACAAAAAAACTTTATTTCCCACAAAATTAGGTGAAAAGTTACCTTCTTACATCCCAAACACGCTCAAATATTTTATATTAAAAATATTATTTTTTCCAATTAAGTAGGGGAGAAGGAGTCACCTTAGCACAGGGGCAAATTTAAACATGTTAATTTCTGAACGTAACGTTATGTTAATTTATGCCGTAACTACATTTTAATATTGGCAGCACTAGCTGTCACAAACGTCAAGTAACAAAGAGCGCGCGTTTCATTTTCAAAGAGATTTATAACCTGTCGTCGTATTTGAACCGGTGAAGTAAAAAATTAAAATAAATGTTGTAAGAAATTTACTATCACGTGAGTAAAGGTTTCTTTCTAATTCTTACACAAAATTGTGCAGTACTTATTACTTTACAATTCACCTTGTAGTTTTTGCTTGCCAGTTATCTCACATTATTTTTTTTGTAATATTTTATCTTCCAAGTGACCATGGGGCAGATTTGATCAAAACAAAAGGGGCAGATTTGAACGGGAAATTTCAAATGTTTACGAATACATGTATTCTAAATGTAATACTTAATTGTAATTAAATGCAACACTAACTGTAATTACTAACGGAAACTCTAAATAATGCTATAGCCAAACACTCCAAAGTCCATTATGTCAGCCACTCTAAATTCAATATCCAACCCTGGATGACCCCTGGCTTAATACGCTGTTCTAAACATAGAGACAAACTCCACTTAGATTTCAGAAAGGACCCTGAAAATGCGCAGAAAAAACTAATATATTGTAGATACAGAATTTTTTACAAAAGACTCCTTAGAACCTTATGGGCTAACTTTGACAGTAAGGAAATAAACACAAATAAAAATAAACCAAAAAAGCTCTGGTCTACCATAAATAAAATCTCACACAGATCCTCAAAAAAATCTAACACATCTTTACAGGATATAGCAAGTATTGCGGGAACTGCGGAAAATTCCTTGGAAGCATGCAATAGCTATTTCTCGTCAATGGGTTCAAATCTAGCGCACAACATCTTGTCTAAGTTGAATGAGGCACATGAAAGCTTGACATCGAAATATGTTATTAAAGAGTTCTCACATAAGTCACTCTTTCTTACACCTACGGACTCAGAAGAGATCTTATCACTAATTCAAAACCTAAGCTCGAGTAGCTCATCTGGTCTAGACAATATAAATAATCAAACCCTAAAAGTGATTGGACCCATGTTGGCAGAGCCACTTACTACAATTTTCAATAGGAGTATAGAAACAGGAACTTTTCCAAAATTATGGAAGGAGGCAG